TCCCCAAAACCCCAAAACCCCAAAACCCCAAAACCCCATGAAATGAATCCAGGTTGATATTCAAGATATATATTTGATCAATTTAAGATTTTTATTTGATATTAATGCATGAAAGATACTCATTGAGCACGGATTTAAGTTACCTTCAAATGAGACAGAATTAGTTTAGAGCAGGCAACTTTTCATCTGGAATTTCTGAGTATTCAAGTTTAAAGAAGTTTCCACTTGCATAATACACATCGCTTGATTCTTTTTCATCAAAAGCTTCCTTGATCACTGATAATCCATATAGAGAATCAATGAGGAAGGGAGTTAGCAGAACAAGGTTTGCAATACTTGGAATCGCTATAAGATTTATGGTCAATAATAGGGATAAGACTGCTCCAACCACCTATAAGATTAAGAAAGATTGATTATTTACATAGGAGTTTGTGGCTTTGCTAACTTTTTTCTGCATAAAGAAGGCGATGTTACATTGCATTGAATATAAAAGGGAAGCAGTAGCAATAAGTAAAGTTGGATTACCTAGTGTGTAGAAGCTTAAATTATGAAGCTCGCTAATAACTAAGGTGGAAGTAAAAGTTATCTGTAAGTTGATCAGAGCAAATGCTGCAATCTTAGTGAGTCTATTCATACTGTTGAATTAGTGAGATTTCCAGTTGTCAAAAAGAATGCTAGTCATCTTATTCTCGAGAATTCTGTAATTTCTGTATTGATTTAGGTACTATTCTTGGAAAGTAAACACACAGACTCCGTAAAAAGCATCGACAGTTAAGAATACACTGTAGCCCACAAAACTTAGTTCATTGTAAACTGAGCCTCTTAAGAGCATAAGGTATGTAGCTCCGAGACATATTGAGGCAAAGTAGCAAAGACCAAAGCAAGAAAGTAGGAAGTGTTGCAATTTGCTTTATTAAAATCCAAAGTATTGATGCAATTGAGTCAGAGGATACAGAACTAACAGTATTTTGCAGACTATATTGATTGAGGATGAGTGAGAGAAAACTAGAATGGAGAGGTAGATCTGAGCTAATATTGAGGTAATTCCAATGATCTGAAGATCCAAGTTGTTTCCTTCAAGATGGAAACCATTTTACTTGTAGTTGTTTAGGAAAAAGTCCTTAAAAAATTGGGTTTAAGTCGTTAGTTTGAATTTGGCCTCAAATTGCTGAATTGCTATTGATAGTAAATCCTTAGGTTCTTAATCTTCATCTGAGCCCTGACTATCAAATATAAGGGGTTCGTTAATGGCCTCATTGAAAGAGTTCTTAGGATTCTTAACATAATCAATAATGCTTCTTAGAGAATAAGCAGCATCTATGATAAAGGGTGAGAGTGCTAATAGCCCAAGTAGAGTTAGCTCGTTTGTAAAAATGCACGTTAGAGTTAAGGTTACTATCATAGCCTAAAATATGGTTAGATAAGAATGGTTTACGTTAGAATGGATAGTTGTCATAACTTTGGGAAGCTCAGTAGATAAGGAATACATCCCAATTACTGAATAAATTATGAGCAGCACATTTTGAATGAATGGAGGTTAAATCTAAAAAATGATTCAAAAAAGTTGTTACCTCCATGAGCATCATGTTAGCACTAATTAAGGAATGAATAAGCTCACATCCAATGAGTAAATAGATGTATTATTTGTAACTTGACTTTGGATTAAGGATGACTTCATTTTTCCAATCATTGAAGACTGCGTACTGGGCAGCTGAGGGCAAGGATTAACTTTCAGAGAATTTATTCGTCTACATTTATAGGCTGTTTTAATAATATTTATTTCTCCTCTGATATTTAATATCACATACACAATCAATTTTAATTTCGAGGGGTTTTGGGGTTTTGGGGTTTTGGGG